GCTTTACAGCCACATGCTAGAATTTCTTAACTTGAGTTCCAGAGTTTGAACTCTGGCAGTCTAAAATTGTTGAGTCCAGTATGTTCATAGGAAAGTCAGCCAGGAAAATTAAATTTACATAAACAAATTACTCTGTCAACCTCTGCCAACATCTACCTTGCCCAGTCTTATAAATGATCCAAACTTCTAGTTCTGCTCTCAGACATTTCCAGATATTTGCTGATTCTTGTCGGTCTGGCTATCTATAAAAATACATCTATTGGCAAATCATGTGCCTGCTTCTGTCTGTTTAAATAAGACCATAAAAATGCTAAAATTACACATTTCCAAAATTTTAGTTCTGTGGAAACCTGTAGGGTCCTTACTGATGAGCAATACCCCATTGTTCATGAGTATTGCAATGGCATGTAAATATACTGAAAATACAGCAGGAAAATAAGAATTCTATAGGATTCCATCAGCAGAAGAGAGGGCATGGGATGTTATGTTCACAATTACGCTTCAGAATGGAATATTTAGACATGAAAGGCAATGGCACAGGAAGATCTTATTTCAAGCCACGGATCCTTTATCCTTAATATTGGCCAGATGTGTTACAGTATAGAAAGGTTTCCTGAAAACAAGCAGAAGGATTTAGTCTACAAGGTGGTTTTAATATGAAGCGACAAAGATCTTAGATTACATCTTGCAGTCAAAGTGCTCCTATTCTTGGTAATAAAAAGAAAGAAAGCGAATGAAGGCTGAACACCGGTGAGCAGCTGTGACTGTTGCTGATTGCTTATGGCTTTTCACACTGTGGGTTGTTAAAATGTGATACACATTTCTGCAGATAGCTGTGGATGCTGTAAGTTTGCATGTGGTTAGGAAGGAGTCCAAAGGAGCAGAAGTCCATCAAGTGCTATTAATCACAAAATTATCACCTTTGGTTCAGGAGGTCCCTGGACCACAAGAGATGGGTGACTGGGAGAGGTGTCACTGCATGTTCCCTTTGTTTTTATTGTCAGAATAGAATAGACCAGAGTAGAGTAAAATAGGAGTAGAATAGTGCAGTTGGAAGGGACCTAAAGTGATTGCCCAGTCCAACTGCTTGACCATTTCAGGGATGATGTCGTATCTGTTAATCTTCTAGTGACTCCTCTGGTGACAGGATACAACAGCCTAGATGAAGCCCAATCTAGCCCTGTGTGGTCATCTTCATTATTTTATGGTTTTTCATTATGACTGGTTGAACCCAGGAGACAAAAAGTAGAGAATGAATGGGATTTATCTCACTTGATTTAGATGCCCACTTTGTACTTTGCAGACATCTAAACAGGAACCAGGTTTCTAGATTCCCTTTATAATCAGCATAGAAAAATGAACAACAAAGTGAGGCTTACCTTAGAAATTTTCTATGAAGGACCTCTATTATGCCAGGTTCTGTGATTCATTTCTAAACTGATTTTTACATGTCAGACATATAAATCTGATCAAATCAATTCTACTTATGTAACTCACTGAACACTAATCTAGTAACATCGGTACAGAAGTAGTAGCCTCATTTTTTGTAGAATTTGGAAGTAACAAGGTACATATTAAAAGCAGAAAAGATATTGAGGATTCATGATTTTTCATGATACCATTTTAGATACCATTTCTATTGGAAGTATCTCTAAAATGTCTATAGGGTAGAGTGGGGATCTCCTCTAATCAGTCTCAGGTGAAAAGGCTTGTGCCAGTCCAGGATGGATATGTATAGACAGTAACACCTTGCTGAATTAATTTCTTGTCAAGAGACCTTGAAATATTTCTTGTTGAAAGCTTATGGATACATAGTATTGGCATTACCATATATATATGTGTGTGTGTGTGTGTATATATATATGTATATATATATAAAATTCCTGGGGCTATGCTGTAAGAATCAAGCATTCCAGCTTTGCCATAATTGTATTATTGTGAAGATTTTAATTGTGGTATAGCAGGGCAAATTATTGGTTTGCTAAGGAATCTGAGAAAAAAATTAGGATAGTCTCTCTATTATGCTGCAAATAGCTAATATTAAACATAAAATACACAATTTTACATACAACTCAATACCAAATCTGCAGAATATGATTTTATTGGTCTTATTATCAAAATGAGTTAACGCAAATATATTCCACAAATCACTAAGGCTGAAACAACTCATTCTCAAGAAGAGGATCTTTGTGGACTTGATTTTACAGGTTTTGTTCCACTGTGAAATCTGTTTGTTACAGATTCTGTTTCATTTAAGAATGCATGTTCCGTCTCTTTACTGAGGTCATTCCACTAACACTTTGATGTTATACCAGAAGTCACCAAGATGGGATAGTGCTAGCCAATCAGCAGTGCAGTACTGCCCAAACTAAAATGACTGCTTGCTACTCTGGCCACATCTTGGCCACGCTTGGAAGTTGTGAGCTATTGAATATAGCCATGACTATCTAAAGTTGGGGGGGGTGTGTGTGGTTTTTGTCAATGGAATTGATTGAATACTTAACAATGTAGTTTAAGTCTGATCAAAAGAAGATTATTCCTGCCATTAGAACTACAGAAATCCTTCCCTTCTAACACTTTAATGTGATTTGCAAGATCTGCTTTTGTGTACTAGCTGAAAGTTGAGATTCATTAGCTAACCTAGAATGTTACAAGCTTATAACAGACTTCCCAGAGCATACGCATTGTGTTGAGAAACTCCTGAATGCCTGAACATTTAATTTATGACCTTTGTTCCATGAAGTGATTATGTGTGTACTTAAGTCTTTTTGTAGTCAGCTAAGTAGCCAACGTTTGTTCAGCTTTACATGTCTTGCTTATTTTGTACCAAAAAATTGATCAGTGTCCTTCTGAATTGGTGGACATTTTATGAAAGCTGGATATGTTCCCTCCTGAAACTAAACGTTGTTTTCTAAGATGTGCTTTTGCAACCAAATTCAGACAAATAAAAAGGGTTATCTCTATCTTGGAGTGAAGAAGGACAATGTTGGCATATTCCATTGTACTAAAGATAGTAACAGATATCACAAAGACTGCTGTTTTAAATCACTGCAGTTTGCTTCTTGTTTATCCTTTTTTAAAAGTTTAATAACTGATCTCTGAGATACTTCTGTCTTTTGAGGGTTTTATAGAAATTTAGGGAGAACAAAGAACTGTTTGGCCTATTAAGACTTATCATTACATCATGCCTCTCTAAGTCATTCCTAGATTGATGATGCCTAAAAAATCTGACCTGATTCTGTTTCACTGAATAAGTACTTCCAAATGTCTGCTTTGAGGATATTCCCCCTAATTTTATTTTTTCAAAGCCATCTTTTCTTATCTACATGCTATAATAAAAGAATAATAGGTTGACATTATCTGTTCCAGCATTCAGAACACATGCTTCAGTTAGGCCTTCCTAAATACTTGTATCTCTAAGTTGTATTCCCCCACTCTTGCCAGTTCTCTTACTGGAATTTAGTCAATTAATCCCAAAAAATTGCTTTCCTGACCTTTCTTAAATGTTATAATATGCTTTACAATAAAAAAACCAATGAAAGCTGAAAACAGGAATCTAATCAGATGAGAATAGTGCAACTGTGTTACACTAGCAATGAAATAGCTAGACATGAAAAAATGTGAGGGATTTTAGTAGTATTATTTCCAGACAATTGCAACTTTTCAATATAATATTTTTCAGGTTGTGTAAGCAATTTGAACCTTTGTTAATGCTAAAGTTCTCAGAAATGTAGGACTTAAAACAACTTTAAATTTTAGATTCATTTATGCACGATTAAGATGCATTTTTGTATATATATTGAGCTGTTTTGTATTTGTATGGCAAATACTTTTTGTGAAGATTTATAAATTGTTGAGTTGTTGGAATGATAAACAAGTGAAGAGGGCTGTAATCTCAGGTTTGGAAAGATGATGAATATAGTTCATCATAAGTCTGCTCCTGCAAAGTATTAATCTTCTCTGTAAGATGCGCCAGTTCCCATAAAAGCACAGATCTCTTGCTTGGCAAGTTGACCTATACAGAAAGCTGAACTGCCATGTAAAACTGTGACAGATATTTGACAGAACAGCAATTTCTTTATCATTAAAGGGGGTTTGTTTTATGTAATAGTAATGCTGTAAAATTGTGCAAATATGTGTAAAAAGTTAAATACTTGCTTACCCCATCCCTCATCTGTAACTATTGGATGAACTGGAACTGTTGTTGTTATAAGAGCTGAAGAGGTCCAACAACGACATCAACACCCAGCTAATGTGTCACATACTAATTTCTCAGCTTCAACATTTCTCATTCTTCAATAGTGCAATTTCCGTATGACCCTGATTTAAAGCCATAGCATATCCCACAGGGAGAAGCCATTTTAAATGGCAACAAGCTAAGAGAGATTTACCAGGACACCAAATTTAGCACCTATAACTGGCTGTAATATTAACTGTTCTATTTAATATTACACAGAAAGACTGCAAATCTTCACTACAGTGAAGTTGTAATCAAAGCGTAGTTCTTATCAGACTGATGTTATATTACAACTATATCTATCAACCTTTCACTGTTAGCAGCCACTGAAAAAAAATGGCTTGAAGAATTAGTTGATCTTCAAACCTTGTCTGTAGTTCCTTTATATTAGGCTTACATATAAGCATAGGGTTTGATCTAAAAGCACTTGTAGTCAGTCCACAATTTTTTAGTTGGCCCTTTAAAGGAATGATGTTCAGAAAGTTACGTCATCTCATACAGCATGCTGTATGTTCTACTGAAGGCTATCTACACCTAACACACAGTTCACATGCGTAGCTTATTCCCACCACAGGGAACAACTAGTTCTGACACATTTGTAATGTGTGGATGTGACATGAATGCAAACACAAATATGGTTATGCAAACAGCAAAAGGTCATGCTCTAAAAATGCTAGGATAGGCTGTTCAGTATTTTCAAGACAACAACTGAACACATATAAATGCTTCAAAGCATAGTAAGAGATTTATATTTGGTTTCCAGGATCAGTGGTTTTGGCGAGTCAGAAACAACAGGGTGATGGACGGATACCCCATGCAGATCACCTACTTCTGGAGGGGACTACCTCCCAGCATTGATGCAGTTTATGAAAACAGTGAGGGGAATTTTGTCTTCTTTAAAGGTAAGAAAAGAAGAAAAGTAAGATTTTGTGTAATACTTCTGACTGTGATGATTTCTTGGAATGTATCTTGCTTATTTTTGCTAATTATTTGTAAATCATGCTGCAAATTGATAGCTAAATGAAGAATATATGAGTTATGTTTTCTCGTTTTGGCAACTACAGCTTTAATTTATGATTACCTTTTAAAGTAGCAGATCATCTACTCTTAAATATTCAATAAAATTTTGGAAGTACAAATAAGAGACATAGTAATGAAGTGATCTACTATGAAATCCTTTTTGAAAAATGTGGATTAGGAAGCAAGAATTAACACAGTTCTTTTTTCTTTGTGGTTCTCTGCTCTTCTTTTCTTTTCTCTCTGCCTTTCTTCCTTTTTAAAAGTGAAATTTGCATATATTTAAATGGGATCTATGCTACATATAAGCCACTGTACTACACTGTATTTATTTCATCTGAGAATTGTGATGTTAGAAGTTTCAGGTGGGAAAAATATGTTTTTCATAGATGTGTATTTAGTATCTTTAAAAAAGCATAAACTCCAAATATGTTGTATGGATTGAATTAATGCTAATGATTCTTTTCAAAGTTTCTCTCCAGGCATCAGCCTTTCTTCAAAATTAAAGTTTTTGAACATGTACCTAATATAGGTTTAATGAGAAAATTATCCTATATGTTAAATAAATACCCATTTAGCCACAAGAGAATGAAAACCACGTAAAGTATGTTTTATAAGATAACAATTTGGAAGAAGAAAGAAGAAACTGAATAGATATATGAAAAATTATTCAGCTATTTAGCGTTGTGAGTGATTCACTTGTTAAATAACTATAAAAAATACATTTTTTAAGTTGCTGTATCAAAAATGAATTCATTTTTACAAGTGGAATAATTAACAGGGAGATAGAAATAAAATTTCATTCACTATGGAAACATTGTCGTCTTGGGAATGCTGAATGGAAAACATTTAATGACATGCAGAAACACTGCATAACAGTACAATGAGTATGAAGGTTATGTTTTACTAATAGGGAAAATGTATTTTTTGTATGAATCATAAGGAAAATTACATTCTATATAGCACTTCAATACAGCATATGCTTTTACTTCTGTTGTCATAAAATAAAATTCATGTCATAAACTCTGGGAAGTTGATAAGATTGGGAATCATGACCGAGATACCTCCAAATCTCCATCCCTCTGCTTGATTTTTGGGTCCATGGCACATGGGAGGATACAAATATTTTTCTGTAGATATCCCTTTGCTTGTCACTGCTCCATAGAGCAAAGAAACTACCCTGTGCCTTCCAAATCTCTACCTTGATAATGCTGGGATCCATTACCCGAGCTTCAGTCAGAAATGATCAAGCTTAATGCTATACCTGCTTTTTTTTCCTTCCTAGTGACCTTAAAATATGGTTTATCATTATTTAACTCTTCACCCAATGCTGACTGAGTCCTGTTAGGTCTTAGAGGAATAGGTTGATTCAGTAGTCTGTACGTTATAGATAACAAAAAACAGAAGGAGGAGAGGAACTCTATTTTCTACCTGGGAAATAAAATAATCACAATTAATTAAAGCGAGCGGAAGCAGTAGGACTGTGCTCTTACAAGTCAGAACATTGCATTCTTTTCCTCCCCCAGCTTACGCTCTTTGATTTCAGCCCAGCTAGTTTTGTGTTTTCTAGCTGATATCATACGATACTTGGATTTTCTGTTGCAGGTATGTTTCCACCTGCTTTCTTTTCAAAGTTCCTTCCCTTAGTTTTCCAATGACATTTGTATTGTCCTGTTGTTTGCTGAGGTCAAAAGTCCCTGTATTTTGTTGTATGATTTTTCTGAATTTTTGCTTCTCTGCCAGTTACTCTTCATGATTTCCAATATCTACCTGATAGTTGTCACGGTTTAACCCCAGCCAGCAACTAAGCACGACGTAGCCACTCGCTCACTCTTCCCCCATGGTGGGATGGGGGAGAGAATCAGAAGAGTAAAAATGAGAAAACTCATGGGTTGGGATAAAGACAGTTTAATAGGTAAAGCAAAAGCTGTGCATGCAGGCAAAGCAAGGAATTAATTCACTGCTTCCCATCATCAGGCAGAGGTTCATCCTTCTCCAGGAAAGTAGGGCTCCATCACACATAATGGTTACTTGGAAAGATAAAATGCCATCGGTCCAAACGTCCCCCTTTCCTTCTTCTTTCCCCAGCTTTATCTGTTGAGCATAATGTCATATGGTGTGGGATGTCCCTTTGGTCAGTTGGGGTCAGCTGTCCCAGCTGTGTCCCCTCCCAACTTCTTGTGCACCCCCAGCCTTCTCGCTGGTGGGGTGGTGTGAGAGGCAGAAAAGGCTCAGAAATAACAGCAACATCTCTATATTATCAACACTGTTTTAATCACAGAACCAAAATATAGTCCCATACTACCTACTATAAAGATAATTAACTCTATACCAGCCACAAACAGCACAATGGTGTTTGTCTATCAGTGTAACTCGTATTTTGTCACTGCCACAGAATCAACAGGTTCAGCTGAGTCTTTTGTACGTGTGCCTTGAAAATTTCTTTTAACCAGGGTTCTCAGCTGCCTGTGGAACATGATTGCAGAAGTCTATATAAACAGACTGTAGGTAACAATCACTGTCTCATTTCTTCCATTCCCTCACAAAATTTCTTCCTGGGAAAAGAGTGTATGTCTTCCTCCCAAAGGTGCTAGAAATAGACAAGTTGATAGTTGCTAGATGATAAACAAGTAGAACATGTTATCCAGCTAGTGTGCTTTACAAATCTAAAACTGGTCAAACCAAGTAAGTTCCAGAAGGAGCTTTAAATCTCAAGTCTGGCATACAGATCTGTTCACAAAGCACATATCTAAGCCAACATTTATTTTCATTATTCAGAGAAAAAAAATAGAAAAGATGGAGGGTGTGCCACCACAAATCTTGGACTGGAATAATGTCACCACGCACTCCCCTCAGAAAACATGTTCCAGATGACTTAATTTTAAGACTGTCAGTTCTTCACAGCAGAAAAGTGTGGTGTCTGCATGAAGACAGCATTTACTTGCAGATTTTTAAATAAAGCCTCCAGAACTTCTTCTCAAAGGTATCAGTAACATCCAGTGTCCTGTAAGGTCTTGAATCTCTGGTGTGTGCTGGAGAAACAGGTTAGTGTGTGAATATCCTCCCTTTCAGAACAGCCTTCTGCAAAGAAAGAAGTCTTAAGGAAGTCTTTCTTCCTCCTCAAAGGAAGGTTCCAGGCACACCTTCCATCTTTTACTCACTCTGGAGGCTTTTTTACTAGTGTGAAACAGGGCATCCTGTGACTGACTGGGTTTTCACTCCTGCTTTCATACTTGTGGAGTAATATCTTTACTCTCTGAGGAAGGTGAAGAAAGGAGTAAGCCAATTTACTCATCTGCGATTGCTAGTGAGTAATTGCCACCTTGCATCTCCTTACACGCCTACACTGCCATAAGTTCAGGATAAACAATATTCTGTTAGGCCAGTGACATTTTTAAGATGCAGGATAGACCTTACAAGCCATCCTGGATTGAAACATTCTATTTATCTCTTTAGAAATACACAAATCTAATCTATTTTCAATAATCTACACTCTATTTGATTTGTTTCAATCCTTGTCTTTCAGGATTGCAAACATCAAATTTTAAACAGTTAATTTAAACTATAAACCAGGTTTAGATATTTATTAATACTTTTTTTTATTAGCATTAGATTTTCCCTCCCTTTGTGTTTACAGTTGGATTCATGATATTAGTAGAAGACTTCTTTACAGTAGTAGAAATATGGATTAGTAAAGGTATAAAAGTGTTCAAAAACTTTTTTTTTTATATGGGGGCTATGTTGTAAAATGTGAGCCATATGCAAATGATATAAGATGGCAGCTCAAGATGGAACATTTATGAACCTTTGAAATGTCTTTATGGCTTATGTTTTTGCTATGAGAAATGTAGGTATTCTTAACTTGTGCCAATATAATCTACCAGTATATTTATACCTATTTGACATTATTCTCGCAAGAATACTTGAGGTCATGCATAATGTATTAGATGTCTATAGAAAATCAAGATGAATCAAGTTCAAGACTATTGGATTAAGAGTCCACTTTGGGTTTGAAATTTCATTGGTTTTGATTTTTTTTTTAATTTATTATTTCAACTTCTATGTCCTTTTTTGGTTTTGTTGGCTTTTTTTTGCATTAATATTTATTTACACAAGGAAAAATTCTAAAAATTCAGTAGTGTGATTGTAGTGCAAAGTGATGCTTGCTCTTTTCAGGTGGCTTAAGATACTTGGCCTGCCTCTTTGTGCCCCATAATGCTCATAAAGTACATAGCAATCTGGTAAATGGCTGATTATAAAAAGCAGATGTTTACTTTCCTGTTATTATTCACTGCTGGCGTCCATGCTGAATTGTAAGAAGATGGCACTTTTTTCTTTTTCTTTTTTTTTTTTTTTTTAATGAGGAAATGTGAATAGTAAAATTTATTCTGTGTACCTGTGGGAATTTATATGGTGCTAAAAATGAAATTGTCAAGCCATCTGCAGTGTTATAGTAAACCAAATGTAGCAATATAAAAGCTGCTGTAAAACTCATACTACCAGGGCCACCATCATCACTTTCAACTGCACTTATCCCACTGCCTGACAGTTTTATTTTGAAAAATAGATTTACAATAGTGTCAGATCATGGAGCAGAGAAATGACAGAAACCTAATGTGGGAAACAGAGAATGAGAAAAAGGAAGCATGAATAGTAATTTGGGGATCCTAGTAAGAAGACACTTGATACTGGTTTGCAAGACCAAAATTAAGAGCAAGGGTTACTGGAGAAAAAAACCCTTCAGAATCAGGTATTAAAATTTTAACTTATTTCAATTGAATGTAATTCCTAAAAGGTTTAAGAATTTGTCTCATCACTGTAACACAGTGATTATACACTATATCCCACACAGGTCTTGCACTACATGCATATCATAATAACATAT